AAAAAAAAAAAAAACACAACTACAATGGCAACATTTGCAAACCTGGGACAAAATCGAGCCTCGTTTTCCCTGGGTAAACCCTATCATCCTGTAGAACAAGCACCTTAAACGTGCCCGATTCCCTCAACCAGGCGGCCACAACTGAGCCAGTCGATATAAACCTGCCTATGTTACATTTGGCCACACGAAAAGGCGCCCCTATGCTGAGCAGCAGGGCCTCGATCGTCCGTTTGAGTGCACCATCTCCCACGACTTTGCTGTGTTTGCCCCAGCCAGTCAATATGCTGCCGAAAAAAAACGTTAAAATGAAATGAGGAAAATGAAATTTTGAATTCATTGTTGTTTGAAGGATGGAGTAATTAATTTTATTTATTTCCCCACCTAAGGAGATTTGGAAGCTCGTGGCCATCGTAGACGATCGAGCGTATGTTGAGCAGCCATGAGTGGACCATGGCTCGTGCAGCTCCCGATGACATTAGGTGCAAATCGAGACATGCTTCAGACCAGGTGTTTTCCCATACTTCCCGGCGTCTACCTTCGAGGACCACAAGCTGGGCACCCCGTTTCTGATAAGAGGATTATGGAGAGAAGAAGGGGGAAAAAAAAGGAGGAGATGTTTAGAAATAATATTTGTCTCTTTTACACAATGAATAATATTTGAACAATTCAAATGCTAACAGGCACCAAAAATTGCCTTAATCTCAGGCGAGTTAAGGAAGACTGCAAACAAAGAGGAACAGTATCAAATGCAATCAGTCAACTTGCCCATGCAATTCTTAATTCTGTTCTGTCCCATACAAGGCTTATTTTTTGACAATTACTAATATATTTCTGCTCTAAAGATCCTTTCAAGAAAGGACGGACAGAAGAAAGAAGGTAAAAAATAAAAATAAAAAAAAATCAGGCACAACATTTCTAACACAAATTAAGAGAAAATTAAACAACGGCCAGCCACCACATCATCTCATGGTTAATACTTCTAAAGTATGCCACACTTGAACTGGATACATCTCGCTCGTTTAGTAAGTTACCTGGCCAAAGTGCCACAGCATATCAGTCAAAGCATTGTAAAAAGCAGATGCAGTAGAAGAATCCATCCGCTTCACCTCGTCAAAAAGTGATAGAGCTTGGGACCATGTGTTCTCATTGTAACCCATGAGAAGACCATGTGCAACTCCATACACTTGATTATCAAAAAGACGCAGTTCTTCTAGCAGCAACAGAGCTTCTTCAAACGAGCTACAACGGCTACAAGCACAGACATTTTCGGAACTTTATCACCAATGGAACTCTACAATTTATACAGCTTATAATAAACATGCTTTCAGCTTGACTCAAATAAGCTTTCGAGCTTCCAAAAAAGCCAAAACCTTCACCTTTATTGTAAAGAAACAAAAAAGATGTTGAGAATAAGTTGTACTGTTTTTTTGCAGGGGATAAAAAGGCTAGAGGTTGAATTAGTTGAAAGAAGATTTTTTTATGAATAAGTTGCGAAAATGCTTCATTTGTGGGCGGAAAATAATTGACGAGAAGGACTTGAAAATCACTGAGAACTACTTTTCAGCTATAGGTTTTCAAAGTAGTTTCTTTATTCTTTTTAAGAATATGCAACAATTCTAAAACTGTAGCAAGTATACCTACCTGCAAGCATTAAGGATGGCTGAGAAGGTTACAACATTGGGCTTTATTTCCATCTCATGCATCTTACGGAAAACACCCACAACACATCTGAAGTCCTTTCTCCCCATCTGCTCATGCTTCCTATTACCCGATTTTCCAAAAGCCAACTGCTTGAAAACCTCTATAATTCTATCATCTTCTCTCTCTTCCCCACCGCCAGCATTCTGAAGAACCACTAATTTCGAGGTCTCCAAACGCGACTCCAAACTATCAAAAGTCTCTGCCTGACCAAAGGCATTAATAATCGAGTTATAAGTCACCACATTAGGTAAAATACCTTCACTCATCATCTCCTCAAGCAACAAGGCAGATGACTCGACCAGCCCCTTCTTACACAAGGCATCAATCAATTTACTGTAGAAAACAACATCAGCCTTCAGCCCTTGTTGCTTGAATTCTCGGTAGGCATCCATAGCCTCCTTGTACAAACCACCTTTACAATAAACACTGATTAAAGTTGAGTAAGTTAATAAATTTGGAGAGAGACGCGCCTTTTTCATCTCTTCAAACAGTTTCTTCACCTTATCATACATTCCCTGTTTACCAAACCCATCTAACAAAGCATTGTAGGTGACGACATCTTTTTGAATACCAATACTCTCCATCTCCTTACCGACAGCAAAAGCCTCGTCAAACCTACCAAGACTAGCATAAATAGCAAGCAAAGTGTTATAAGACACCCTATCCAATTTAATACCTGCAAACTTCATTTCATTGAACAAATTCAGGGCTCTATCAAGTTTGCCCGCCTTTGCACACCCACGGATCATAGTGCTGTAAGTCACCTCATTAGGAAATACATTCTTCGCGGGCATCTCGGCCATGATCTCAAAAGCCACATCTATGTGGCCCCCACTGCATGCGGCATCCAAAAGAGTATTATATGTATAAATATCCTGATCTATCCCTTTATAAATCATCTCATCAAACAAACGACGTGCACTATCCCACAACCCGGCACCACTACAAACCGCAAGAAGTGAATTGTAAGTGATTCTATCTGGTTGGACCCCATTTGACAACATGTCGTTGAAAATCTCCAAAGCCCGCTTATAATCTGCACCCCCTTTTCCACACGCATCAATCAAAGCATTATATGTCACTAAATTAGGCTTCAAGCCCGAGTCTTTCATACTCTCAAACACCCGAATAGCCTCATCACAGTACCCACTCTTTGCATAAGCGCTTATTAAAGCAGAATAAGCATAAACGGTATTCCCATAACCCTCATTCACAGCATTCTCAAACACTTTCTCCGCCAAATCAACTTTCCCTAATCTACCGAGGGTACTAATCATCGAGCTAGATAGTTTTCCAAGCTCATTCCTTCTCCTCTCGCGACTAATTGCGAATTCGAAGCACCTCATGGCTTTTGTCCAATCCCCCTTATTCCCCAGCTCACGCAGCAAAAAAGTATAATCATCAGACGCGCACAGCCTCGACTCG